TCTCAAGTTACCCATCCCTCATCCTGCCAAGGCCGGAGGTCGCCGGAAGTGCAGAAATGCAAGGATTTCTGCATTTCGATGTCGCAATTCTTTATTGAGAGAGTTCATTTCCAAATGCGAGTCAAACTTCATTCTATATTTTTTTTTTGTTCGGGGGGGGGGGGGGGGGGGTAATCGCCGCGATGAGATGCATGCAAAGAAGTCAGGAACGCCTGATGCATTCTGGTTTTGATGAAGACGATACACTTGATGCAGACGCCTGATGCTCCAACTTGCGATCGACAAGACCGGCATTTCGAGAGCATTTCACGATGTTTTTCTTTCTCGAGTCTCGCCTTCACCATAAAATAAGGACCTTTCGAGGACATTATTACGTTGCAAAACGCAGGACCAAGCGACCCCGTGATTTTATTTATTAGGGTTGGATTGGCGCTGAAATGAGAAGCCCAGGAACGACTCATTCTCGACGGTAATTCAGACAGCGATGAGCAGAAATGCATAAAGAACTGCATATTTTTGAAAATATCTATGCAAGAAGAAGCAGATTCCTAAACTCCGTTCCCCAGAGACGAAACCACGTCCAAGAGGCGCTTCCATGAGTTAAAAAAAAACTTTCGAGTCGACTTTCGCCTTGGAGTTTTCATTATCGTTCGGGTCCGCAATCGCTCAGCCTTTTCGGGGGAGGACCTGTCTCATGAAATGCATCTGTCAAAAGCAATTGCTCGTCCTGCCAAGCGAAGTCGAACGCTGAAAGCTCCTGCACGAACCGATCCACGGTTCTACTGTGGTGTCTGCATTTCATACCGACAGTTCTGCCATCAGCTGGCATATCCTGCAACTGATTTTGAATTTCAGCCTGGACAAAAAATGTTGGTTCTTTTAAAAGCAGCAAAAAAACAGCACCACACTCGTGCAAGTCCCCGACCCATTTCCCAAGTCCCCACTTGAAGGCGATTCTGGCGAGCAACCGAAGATGCCCCCAGTGCCCTCGAAGATGCCCCCGGTGCCCTCGAAGATGCCCCCGGTGCCCTCAAAGATGCTCCCAGGGCCTTCAGATATGCCCCCGGTGCCCTCCGATGCCTGCCACGCGCGTCCCAGTTCTCACACGAAGATCGGATTCGCCGTCTCAGCACTCCGGGTTCCGAAAGGGAGAAACTTCCAAAAGAATAAAGATTTTCGGTCTGCCGTGAGGCCGAGAGACTTCAAGGACATCCCCCGGGATTGGCTAAGCAAACGAGTGGTAGCTTTTAAAGGCTGCCGTGGTAAATCGGGGTATGTCGAGAGACCTTAACAATCTCTAAGTCGCGTTCGTTCCGTTAGAATTTTTTTGGAGAAGGTATTGCTTCATTCCCGATTTTACTGGAAAAAGCGAAACATGGCATCGATCCATGCAGTTCCCAGGAATGAAAGCCATCGCTCTCTATTTGACCGATTGTGCGCCTCGCAAAGAGACATGCTCCGCAGTTCACCCCCCTACCCTCCTCTTCCCAAACACAAACTATGACACACTGAGTGGAAGAAAAGAGGGAGAGAGAAAGGGGGAGGGAGGGAAGGAGAGAGAGAGAGAGAGAGAGAGAGGGTAGGCTTGCCCGTCGGACAGAAGGGAGGATTTGAAGCGGGCATTGCAGGCTGCGTATGTACGCCTTCGCGTTCCGCGCGGAAAAGAAACGAAGGATTCCGAACCAGTCGAATGCCTAAAACTCCATCGAGCGGTGACGAAATTTCGAGTACGGAGTATCGAATCGTCAACGTTAGGGCCGACGTGGAACGAGGGTGAGTCCGCAATTTTGCACGCCGGATGAGCATCTAGCCCTACGTGCCCAGGGCTAGACGTGCCGAAACCGCGGAGTCCGATTACGTGCTGCAAATATCGAAAGTGAATCGTCGGAGGTCTGGTCCCGCGGGAAAGGCATTGAAGTCATTTAAAATATGTAAGTTATGGGAAAGAAAATCCTGGCCCCGATCGCCACGCTACGACACCAAATGTGACAGTCGTGTTGAGCCCATCGAACCGAAAAGAGTACTCATACTCGAGATCGGCCCAGCCGACAGCAGAACAGAATCGATCCCTCGGAGCACAGAGCCCAAAATCCATGCCCAAACACAGCGGGTGAGACTCCAAGACGGCGTCATGGCGATGACCGGCCACGCACAGGTACGGAGTGACTGAAAACAGAAAACATCAATGGTAAAATGTTGAATAGAAATGTCTGAATTTGAGTCGAAAATCGAGGAAATTCTGATATGGAGGATAAATAAAAAAATAAGGAACAATTAAAAAGTGACTCCAGTATGATGATCCCCGCATATTCCAACTTAATTTTTAATAAATGCACAGATGACGAGGGATGGAAGGCGCCGCCTGCCCACATGCGATCACAACATTCTTTTCTCTTTTTCTTCTCGATCGATCACGTGAATGGGAAAAGGAAGAAATGCAGCGATAGTTTCAAATTTAATTTTAGTTTTATATTGACTTCGATACTCATTCATCCTCATAGAGCCAATCGGAAGGTCAACGTTGAACGAATGTCTGTGAAGAACCCATTGCCACATGAAATTTAATTTAGAAAAAAAAGGGGAATTTTTCAAGACGTTTCAACAGATCCATTCCAGCGGTTCTCGGGAAGGAATTTAACGTTCGAGCGGCCCCGCAAGCTAAGAAAGATCGAGCACGCCTGTCCTACGCCGAAGAACCGCTTTTCCTTAGTGAAGATTGCCAGAGGCTATAAGCCATCAATACCACGAGGAAGTACTTTTCCTTTAGCGGGGAGGTAATACTCCCTTCTCACCCTTTAACAGAGATGGGATCTCCGTAATGATTCCGCATGAGTCCTTGCCCGATCCGGGGATAAGTGGCTCGATGGTGCCAAAAGCAGATGGTTCCTTGGCATCTGTTTCCATCTCCGATTCATGAATACGGGGCACGCTCTGCACACGAAAGGCATTTCTTCCGGAGACGATGATGGAGCCTAATTACTCCATTATGGAGTCTAATTACTCTTACTTACTTGCCAAACGAGTTGAGAAGGCACGAGAGCATAAAGCGTTAAAATGATCTTTAAAATCTGAAGGCGAGAGTTCTATTCAATGGACTTCCTTTCCTGTGAGGCAGCGGTTCGTCCCCCTTCCTCTCTGAGAACAATTGAACTTTGACCACGGATGCTTTTTTCTTGCGATAATTGAAAAAAAATAGGAAACGGATTCCAATATTTCAGGGACTGCCTCACGGCTAGGAAACGGATTATTATTCGCGTAATTTGTAATGAACGATGCTCACATGCTTCTGGGCCCACAAACGATCGAATCTGGACTGGACGATAACAATGAGGCGCAAATCTCATTTTTAAAGACCTGACAGAGTTGTCTTCGGAAATTTTGCTCTGACAGGGAAACCCAGCTCTTCTGCGTCGTTGCGTTTCCTTGACTATATTCACTTCATCGAGGATTCAAGTTCCAGCCCGAAGGGACGCGCGATTCTTTCGTCATCTTCATTCGAATCGTAGGGAACCGCCGACAGAAAAAAACTCGCTTGAAAAAAATGAATTGAATTTAAAAGTCTGCCCCTTGAATTGCTTTCATTTAGTCTTGCACTCCTTTTGAGCGTTCGAAAGATCTGAGGGAATGTGATTTATTTGCAGGAAATAAATAGTTCAATAAAATATTCCATCGTTTTTGAAATTCCTCATTGTAATACGAGGTAGATAATTAAAAAAAACTCCCATGACCTGGTCGCGCCCCCCCCCCCCCCCCCCCCCCCCCCCCCCCC